GAGGAGAGAGGCTGGCAGGTGGTGAGGTGGTTAAGGTGCTGGACTCCCACTTGGCCGACTGCAGTTTGAGTCCTGAACCTGGGGGCTTGCTTTCTCTCTCTCTCTCTCTCTCTCTCTATCTCTCTGTCTGTCTCTCTGGTCAAGTGGAAGAGTACCTATAGCAAATTAAGAGGAGAATGGAGGAGAAGGGATTGTGGCGTGACCATCCCCCCTGGGGGGTGTTTTCTCGCTTTCTGTCTCTATGTCTCTCTCTGTCTGTCTGGCGAGCACACGCGCCCTACAGTGAAAATCTCTCCAAAAAAAAAGAGAGAGGAGAAAATGCTCCAGAGGGTGAATGGCCACACTATGCTGCAATCTCCCTCCATCTCTCCCGCCTTTTGTGATTCTGAGCACATACACACACACGCCTGGCATGTTTCTCAAGCCACTGGTCTGGGACCTGAACCATGCGTTTGGCCATGTGGGATCTGACTGGCTTAAACACCAGAGCGCAGAGCTGGCCTCCGATAACCTCTCTTAACAGTTACTTTGTAATGTTTCTGTACAAATACCACAATTATGATAGATAATTTGATGAACAGTTTTGCTATGAAGATATGTGCACTGACTTAAAAAAATTCGAATACCTACTATGCGCAAAAAGCAAGGGATAAATTTATAGTCAATAAAACAGACATGGTTCTTGTCTTCCTTGAGTTCAACCAAAAATTACACGAAATAACTATAATTGTGTTAAATGCTTTAAAAGTCAAGTATAGATGCCACATAACTCTCCTCCCCTGACACCCCCCCCCGCCCCTGACCTGGGGGCACAGGTGCTCACCAGAGAGAGAAGGAGAGGAGAAAGAGTCCCTCACGGTGTGCACTCTGCATTCCTCCTGTTTCTCCGTCCTGACAGGACTTGGGGCATGCGTGCACACGCTCGAATCCAGGATTCAAACCAGGATAGGCATGTGGGTTCTATCTCCGTTAATCACAGGTCATGGGACTGGCCCAGTCCTTCATTTTATCTAGTATAGGGAATCTCGGGAAACGATTCCATTGTTACACCCTTTTTCCAAAAAGTTTCTAGTTAGCATTCTTTAATGGTTTGTGACCTGTGTTTAACCTGTGACAATCAGATCTTCCTGGTGTTACTTGAATAACATTCTCGCTAGAAAGGGTTCTGACTATGCTCAGTCTCTCCTAAGCCAGTGAGTCACGTCACCTTACATAACTACGACATTTCCAACAGCATTTTAGACCCTATTTTCTGGCAAGCAACTCCCCACGCCCCCTCCTGTCAGAGGGAAATAGTTACCTCTTCCCCACCAGGCTTCTCTGTTCTGCTCTTTCTCTCCTTCAACCCATATGAACAATTTGGAATCCGTGGCGGCTGACGTCCATGTCCCTATCTTGTATAGCATCAATTGTTTTCTTTTTTGGAGAGGTTTTTGCTCTAGGGCGCATGCGCTCGCCAGACAGAGACAGAGAGACAGAAAGCGAGAAATCACCCCCCCGGGGAGGATGGTCACGCCGCAATCCCTTCTCTTCCATTCTCTCGGGATCTTGGGCACGCACACACACACGCCCGGCGTGAGTTTTAAGGACGCAAACCGCGGTCGACTACGTGGGAGTCCAGCGACATAGCCATTACGCTAACTGCTGGTTCCTAGCATCAGTTGTTTTCTAAGAATTATTTACTTAATTTTATTTTTTATTATTCTTTAACTTAACCAGAGAAAGAGAGAATGAAAGTGAAAAAGCAAGCAACCAGATTCAGGACTTGAACTGTGGTTGGCCATGTGAGATTCTAGCATACCAATCAGCACATCACCTGCTGACTTCGAATCAGAAGTTTTTAAAAATTAAATTTGTCAGGGAAAACCAGCAGTTAGCGTAATGGCTATGTCGTTGGACTCCCACGTAGTCGACCACCGCGGTTCACGTCCCGGACCCGGTGGCTTAAAACTCATGCCGGGTGCGTGTGCGTGCGTGCCCAAGATCCCAAGAGGAGAATGGAGGAGAAGGGATTGCAGTGTGACCATCCCCCCTGGAGGGTGATTTCTCGCTTTCGGTCTCTATGCCTCTCTCTGTCTGTCTGGCGAGCACATGCGCCCTATAGCAAAAACCTCTCCAAAAAAAAAAAAAAATTAAATTTGTTGGGACCAGCAGATGGCATAATGGTTACATCACTGAACTCCCACATAGTCGACCATGGTTTGAGTCCCAGACCCCGTGGCTTAAAACTCGTCCCAGGTGCATGTGTGCCCGTGCCCGAAATCCTGAGTGGAGAATGGTGGAAAAGGGACTGTGGCATGGCCATCCCCCATGGGGGGCAATTTCTCACTTCCTCTCTCTCTCTCGCTCTCTCATTCTCTGTCTCTCTGCGAGAGCACACTCACCATAGCAAAAATCTCTCTTAAAAAGAAAAAAATTGTCATGGGCCAGCAGGTGGCACGGTGGTTAAGGCACTAGACTGCCACAGGCCAACTACAGCTGGAGTCCTGGACCCAATAGCTTGAAAATCACACTGTATGCATGTGCATGCTGCGAAAATCCCAGGAGAATGGAGAAGGGATTGTGGCGTGGCCATCCCCACTGGGGTGGGGGGGGGATGGTGATTCCTCATTTTCCCTCTATCTGTTTCTCTCCAGCAAGTGCATGTGCCTTGTGGCAAAATCCTAAAAATGTAAAAAAAAAAAAAAAAAAAAAAAAAAAAACAACTGTCTTCACTGACCCTTTCTTATTGTGCCCCTCCTCTGGGCACAAGCTCTTGGGTTCTTGCCGTCTTTGTCATCTGATCTTGAAGTTTAGATTATATCCTTGAACGTAAACTATCCTTTCTCATGAAAGCTTTTGGCAAACAGATTATATATACATATATGTGTGTATGTATATATATATATTTTTTTTTTTAAGAGGTTTTTGCCTTAGGGAACATGAGCTCACTGGAGGAGAGACTGTGAGAGGGAAAGCGAGAAATCGCCCCCCAGGGAGGACGGCCATGCCACAACCCCTTTTCCATTCTCCGGTATATTGGGCACGCATGCACACACACCCAGGATGTTTCAAGTCACCGAGTGCAGAACTCGAACTGCAGTCAGCCATGTGGGAGTCCAGTGAGGTAACCGCCACACCACCTGCTGGCCCCCACGTGTTATATCTTAGTACCGCCTTGCTGAGGAGTAGGTAGGTCGGTAGGTGCTAGTCAGTAACAGTGCCTAACATGTCCCACGGTTGACACTGTAGCACACAACTCTTTACAAAGTGCACAAAAAGTTTTTGTTGTTGTTGTTCCTAATACAAAATTTGTAAAGGAGGTGGAACCCTTTTCTGTACATAGATAAAACAAGGGCTAAGTATGCAAAAAGCCTTTCCAAAGGTCACAGTTTCTAAACAACAGTGACCTCTGAAAAGGAAGGAATGCCAGGAAACGACTCAGTAGTGACCTTCCACATCCCCCCAGGGAATGACAGAAAGCCCTCTGGCCAGCATGTGGCATGGGGAAGGTGCTGGGCCCCACATTGCCAACTACACGGTTTAAGGACTGGCCCGTGACTTGAGAAGCACATGGGGGCATATGTGTGGGTTTGCCCAGAACCCCAAAAGGAGAGGAGAGGTTGGGACGTGCCCAGGAGTGCTTTCTCACTTTGTCTCTCTCGGGAGATGCTAACGCCTTCTCTGGCAAAAAACATATTTTTAGGAAGAAAGCTCTCAGGTTATGGGAGCATACTCCGGATGCTCCTGGCTGAAACTGCCTGGGAGACCCGGGCTCCAATCCTGGCCCACCCTAAAAAAGATGGATGTGGAGGGGCCAGCAGATTACATAGTGGTTACATTGCTGAACTCTCACATGGCATATCATAGTTCGAATCCCAGACCCAGTGGCTTGAAAAATCACGCTGGGCACATATGTGTGTGTGTGCCCAAGATAGTGGGAGGAGAATGGGAGAGAAAAGATTGTGGCATGGCCATTCCCTCTGGGGGGTGATTTTTCACTTTCCCTCTCTCTCTCTTTCTATGTCTCTCTCTCTCTCTTTCTCTCTGGCAAGCATACATGCCCTAAAGCAAAAACTAAAATAATAATAAAATTTAAAAGATGGGCATGGTGGCACATACCTATGGTCCCAGGTACTTGGGAACTGAGGCAGGAGAAGCATGACAGTGATGTCTTTTTTTGTTGTTGTTGTTAGAATTATTCATTTAATGTGTTTGTTTATTTTTTTATTTTTCTATAGGGCACATTTGCTTACCAGAGAGAGAGAAAGCAAGCCACCAGGTCTGGGACTTGAACTGCCTTTGGCCATGTGGGAGTCCAGCACCTTACCCACCATGCCACCTGCTGGCTCCCAAGATAGTGACGTCTTAACCTTAAAAAATAAACCAAAAATGACCGGCAAGGTGGCATGGTGGTTGGGGTGCTGGACTCACACATGGCTGACTGCAGTTCGAGTTCCAGACCTGGTAGCTTTCTCTTTCTCTCTCTGTCTCATCAAATTAAAAAGAAAAAAATAATGATGCATAAAATAAAATGTAAAATTTTTTAAAACAAAACAAGAAACACCAGGTACGTGTATACGCACACATACACAAGCCCTCTTTTAAATTCTTCCTCCTCGCATTTCCACTCAATGCAACTTAGTGTTTTCATTTCTCATGTGAGAGTAACTGCCGTCCATTTCATGATTGCTGGAAGTGTTCTGTATCGACACTCTCCAAGAAGATAAACAATGTGGTTATTGAAATTGTAGTAAAACGTAAAATCCAGCCCTTTGGTTACACTCCACGTTTCAAGTGACTGTGACTGCAGTCCTGGACGGGCAGACGGAGATGTCTCCACCGCTGCAGGAGGCTCTCTAGGAGGAGCCGTGCCAGAGCGAGGCGCAGCCAGAGGTCAGAGAAAGCGTATGAAGGGCCCGGAAGCCTGAGCGCCTGGTGGGCTTTGATTGAGAAGGCTCCCTGGGTGAGTGTGGAGCAAGCTGACCTTAGGGACAGTGACATCACAAAGCACAGCTCACAGTGGCCCAGAGCGCCTGGCTTCCGGCCACTCTGCCTAACGCATACCTGGATTCCCGACGCCTCTGCACATGTAGTTCCTGGAGCCGCTGTCTTGCTGAAATGTCAACATCTTCACCTTCTTCCTGGGACGGCCTCTTAGACTCTCTCTCTCTGAACACAATATGGAATTGGATACAAGCAACCTTCCTGGGAGAGACCAGCACGCCTCAGCAAATGAATCTGGGGCTGCTGGAAAACCTCGCTCCGGCAGTACAAGTCATCCTGGGGGTCTCCTTCTTGCTGTTGTTGGCGATAGGACTATATGCCCTGTGGAAACGAAGCGTCCGGTCCATTCAGGTTGTCCTCTTTCCTTTCATTTCTTTAAAGAATTATTTGTTTCATTTTATTTATTATCATTATTTTTAAATTTTGACCAGAGAGAGACAGAGACAAGGAAAGGGAGAAAGCAAGCCACCAGGGCCGGGACTCCAACTGTGGTCAGCCATGTGGGAGTCCAGCGCCTTAACCACCACGCCACCTGCTGGCCCCATCCTTTTTTCTTACAGAGAGATTTAGATATTGTAACGAGATCCGTTCGTTCTTTCCCAGTTGTCACCACTCAGCTTTGAGATCATGTAGGTGAGCAAGCGTGGACCTTGGTTTTTTACATTGGTTGAAACCAATTTTTCTTGAAAATCTCCACCAGTTACATTTTGAGCATAAAAATGCTCTTTCTCGGGACCAGCAGGTGGCATAATTGGTACATTGATAGACTCCCGTGTAGTCTATTGTGGTTTGAGTCCCAGACCGGTGGCTTAAAACTCATCCTGGGTGCGTATGCATGCGTGCGTGCCCAAAATCCCGAGAGGAGAATGGAGGAGAAGGGATGGCAAGCGACCATCCCCCTAGGGGTTGATGTCTCACTTTCTGTCTCTCTGTCTTTCCGTCTCTCCAGTGAGCACACATGCAAAAATCTCTAAAAAAAAAAAAAAAAACCAAGCAAGCAAGCTTTTCCGTTTTTCTTGTGATGGCCTTTGACTTATCTACTATAATAAAATAGGTCACGCATGTCCGTAACCTGCGCAGGGAGCCTTTCCCCACATGGACTCGATCCCTTACTGATTTCCGAGTGGGCCTGTGTGCGTAGTCCAGGCACTGTGGTATAATGGGCTGGGGGTGTCCTTTCGTCCTTCCTCTCCCATTGCCTCTGGTTCGTTTTTGTGTTTTAACCAGAGAAGTCTCCATAAACAAGCAGGTCTCCTGGGGAGAGGAATACGATTGTGAGAAACAGGACTTCACATACTTCCACATACTTCCGTGTTCTCACCACAAGTAGCAGCTTATGTATCATCCAAGCGCTTTGGGAATCTCACCCATTTCACAAAATGGATAGAGGTTATTTTCACAGGGAGAATGAGAAATCTGGGGAGCACTGAGGTTCAGTAGACATTTAAGGAGACAGGATTTAAGGGTGACTTTTAAAAATACATCTCAAGGCCATCAGGTGGCATAGTGGCTAGGGCTCTGGACTCCCATATAGGCTACTGTGGTTTGAGTCCCAGACCAAGTGGCTTAAAACTCATAGCAGACTCATATAACTCTCTCTCTCTTTCTCTCTCTCTCTCTTTTTTTTTTTTAAAGAGATGACTTTTAGAAAAATACTATCTTGGGGCCAGTGGGTGGCATGGTGGTTAAGGTACTGGACATGCACATGACTGACTGTAGTTGGAACCCCAGACTGCTGGCTTGAAAATCACACCAGGCGCGTGTGTGTGAGTGCCCTAAATCCCGAGAGGAAAATGGAGAAGGGACTACAGTGTGGCCACTCTCCCTGAGGAGTGGTTTCTCACTTTCCCTCTCTCTGTCTCTCACCAGTAAGTACACACATCCTAAGGAGGTAAAAAAACACCTCACTTTGATAGAGAAAAATGGCTTTCTTAGCTTCCTTTTTTTTCTTTAAAGAACTACTTTATTTAATTTTATTCATTCATTTATTTTTAATTTGGCCAGAGAGACACAAAGCTTCTTCCTCTTCCTCCTTTTCCTCCTCTCCCTTTTCTCCCTCTTCTCCCTCCTCTTCCTCTTCCTCTTCCTCCTCCTCCTCCTCCTCCTTCTTATTTTTTAATAGAGGTTTTTGTTTTAGCACACATGCACTCACTGGGGAGAGAGAGAAACAGTGAGAGGGAAACTGAGAAACCACCCCCCAGGGGGATGGCTTCGCTGCAATCCCTTCTCCTCCGTTCTCCTCCTGAGATCTTGGGCTTACATGCACACACGCCTGGCATGAGTTTCAAGCCACCAGTACCAGATTTAAACCTCAGTGGGCCATGTGAGAGTCTAGTGACATAACTACTATGCCATCCGCTGGCCTTGAAAAATGCTTTCTGGGACCAGCCGTTAGCATAATGGCTATGTCACTGGTCTCCCATGTAGTTGACGGTGGTTCGCATCCCAGACCTGGCTGCTTAAAACTCACGCCGGGCGCGTGTGCGCACGTGCCCAAGATCCTGAGAGAATGGAAGAGAAGGGATTGCGGCATGGTCATCCCCCCTGGGGGGTGATTTCTCGCTTTCTGTCTCTCTGTCTCTCTCTGTCTGGCGAGTGCACGTGCCCTATCGCAAAAAACCTCTTCAAAAAAAAAAAAAGAAAGATGCGTTCTTAAAGACCACGTGGTTTACTCAGTAAGTGCTGAGAGCAGTGATTACTGCTTTACTCTGCAGCATTCCCTCATTTTCAAATGTTGCTGTTACTCAGGAAACGTGTCTGCATGCATTTTCTTTTTACATCAAACCCCATGTAGCCGGTAAGACAGGGATAATCCTCTTCCTTTGGAGGTGAAGGAACTTGGTTACAACCTACTCAAACTCACATAGTTCATAAGTGTCAGTAAAGACGGGATTTGAACCAAATTTTTAGGATTTCAAATTCAAATTGTTCTCTACAATCTTATTTAATGTAATTCAATAGAACTAAATTCTAACAGAAATGTGTGTGTGCATATATGTGTGCGTGTCTATATGTACATACGTACTTGCATTTCAGCAAACAGGAGGATGGAAGGCAGGAAAACAGACCCTTGTTTAATTCTGGGTTTCACTCACTCAGGAGGATGAATTTGCAGGCCCACAGACACCCAGGCTGAGAGAAAAAGGCAGTTTACAGAGTGGCCGAGAACGAGTGGGGAGTCAGACCGTTTGGGCTCATACCTCACCCTGAGACCTGAGGGCAGTCCCTCAAGCTCTCCGCCCTTTCCCTGACACGTGGGGGGCAGGGGGGCTTGCTAGCCTGCCTCTGTCACAGAATGGTCTTGTGGGTTAGGGAGATATCATGTGTAAAGCTTAGCACACACGCATCCAAAAGGCAGTGCTAGTTATTACAAGGAAAGAGATGGCTGGTTTTCTTTTTATCCTGGTAAGAATCTGTCCTAGTATGTATGTGTGTGTAATATATAAGGATTTTTTTTTAAGAGTTTTGTTTTTTGTTTTTTTTTTTTGTTTCTGTTTGTTTGTTTTGTTTTGTTTTCTACAGAAAGACAGAGAGACAGAAAGCAAGAAACTACCCTCCAGGGGGGATGGCCACGCCGCAGTCCCTTCTCCTCCATTCTCCTCTCGGGATCTTGGGCACGCACGCACACACGCCCGGCATGAGTTTAAGCCACCAGGTCCAGGACTCAAACCGCAGTCAACTACATGGAAGTCCAGAGACATAGCCATTACGCCAACTGCTGGTTTCTATAAGGACTATTTTTATTATTTATTTATTTTTAAGAATTATTTAATTTGAAAAAAAAAAAGAATTATTTAATTTGAGACCAAGAGAAAGGAGAAGGGATTGTGGCATGGTCATCCCCTCTGGGGGGTGATTTCTTGCTTTCTGTCTCTGTCTCTCTCTGTCTTTCTGGCAAGTGTATGCGACCTTTAGGAAAAACTTCTCAAAAAGAATTATTTAATTTTAGGGGCCAGCAGATGGCACAATGGTTATTTCGCTAGACTCCCACACCATCAAGAACAGTTTGAGTCCTGGACCCAGTGGCTTAAACCATGCCAGGTGTGTGTGTGCCCAAAATCCCGAGAGGAGAATGGAGAAGAGATTGTGGTGTAGCCGTCCCCCTCAAGGGGTGATTTCTTCTTTTCTGTCTCTCTGACCTTCTCTGTCTCACCATTTAGCACATGCACTTATAGCAAAAATCTCTCTCTAAAAAGAGAGAGAGAGAGAATTATTTAATTTTATTTATTATCATTACTATTATTTAGTTTGACTGGAGAGAGACAGAGAGAGAGAAAAGGAAAGTGAGAAAGCAAGCTGCCAGGTCCAGGACTCAAACTGCAGTTAGCCACGGGGGAGTCCAGCATCCTTAACAACCATGCCTCCTGCCATCCTCCATTATTATTATTTTTTAATTTGATGAGAGAGGCAGTGAGAAAGCAAGCTGCCAGATCCAGGATGTAAACCGCAGTTGGCCGTGTACCATCATGCCACCTGCCGGCCCCCTTAATATATAGTTTTTAAATTTATCTCTCCCCCACCATGACCAGGAAATCCAGTTTGTCCAACCACTGTGTCTTAGAAGTATTCTTGGAAGTGAGAATTCCTGGATTCCAGTCCTGGCTGTCCACTTCCAACATATGACCTTGGGCCATGACAGGGTCCAAACTGGAAGGTGTTGGTTCTGGTTCCCTGCCTCGGCAGGTCATGCCCGGTCGAGGAGCCAGGCAAGGCGCAGAGCCACGCGTGCGGCGGGAACAGTGTCTGTTAGAATAACCTCTCAGGTGTGAGATATTTTGTGGGATGGAAGGCGTGGCATGGGAACGAGGTATCGCAGCCATTGGGTTTTTGTTTTCTTTCTCATCTAAACAGAACTATGGCATTCGCGTGACCAAGCAAGTAACGCTCGACTTCTGTTTCATTTTAGAAAATGTTGTTATTTGTGGTCACACTCTACAACCTTTACAAGAAGGGCTCAGATTTTTTTCAGGCATTGCTGGTCAACCCAGAAAGTGGTGGTCTCCAACTTCAAGACGGCACTAATTTCATCCTGTCCTTGGGTCTGCAAGAAAAAATTCTGAAAAAACTTCAGACGGTGGAAAACAAAGTGAAGGACCTGGAAGGGATGATCGTCGCCCAGAAGCCTGCCACGAGGAAGGAGTGCTCCTCCGAGCCCTACTGCAGCTGCTCCGACTGCCAGAGCCCGCTGCCCACCTCGGGCTTCACGTCCACGTCGGAAATGTGACGGACTCCCGTCTTCTCCAGAAAAGCACAGTTCCCCTCCTGTGTGCGGTGGTGTGTCAATAAAGATAGAGGACTATATTGAAGTCACCCTGCACGGGCTGGCTCATGTGCTGTAGGCCCAGCTTCCACTTGCGTGCGTGTGAGGCTGATGCTGGGGACAGTGGCAGTTGACATGGGCTGATGGTGCTCGGCAGGCTGGAGCCTTTAGGAAAGGATGGTCAGACTGGAATCAAGGTGGGTGGATGGGTGGGTGGGCAAAGAAGGCCGGGTAGTGGGGAATACGGCCTCGAGGCCCAGACTGAAGAGCTGGGTAGGTAAACACAAAGCGGGAATGTTGCTTGAGGACCAGGCCCTGGACTCTCCTGTGAAGGTAGGTTGGCCCCTGAGCTGGTCCTCAGCCTTCAGGGAAATATGAGGTCCAGGGGTGTCCTACGTTAATTACTCGAAGGTGGGCAAAGGTGAGGGTGGACGTAAAGGAGATCGTTTCGTGTTATCCAACTTTTACCGACGCCTACGCCATGCCAACTGTGTGCTGGTTCCTGGGATTCTGTCCTGAGCGCGTCGGGAGCGTGCGGGCTGACAGGCAATTTCAGAGCAGAGGGCCATAATCCAGCGGGCCGGATCGTGCTACACGGGGTCAATGTCTTACATGCAACCCGGCTTGGCAGGGAGGGAAAACGGGAGCACGTACCCTGATGAGAGTAGGGGGGAGAGAGAGAGGGAGGAGGGGGGAGAAGGAGGGAGGGAGGGACTTCCAGGGAGAAGGCAGTAAATGGTCCTCTCAGCAGATCTGATTCCACGAGCCTTTTAGTGTGAGCAATATTTGCCACAATAAATGTGATTATGGTCACTCAAAACACTTTGTAACCACCTCACACCTAAAGAAAATATGTTTGGTGATTGGGGCCAGTGGGTGGCGTGGTGGTTAAGGCACTGGACTCCCCCATGGCTAACCATGGTTCAAGTCCCACACCTGGCAGCCTGCAAGATCTGATTCCACGAGCCTTTTAGTGTGAGCAATATTTGCCACAATAAATGTGATTATGGTCACTCAAAACACTTTGTAACCACCTCACACCTAAAGAAAATATGTTTGGTGATTGGGGCCAGTGGGTGGCGTGGTGGTTAAGGCACTGGACTCCCCCATGGCTAACCATGGTTCAAGTCCCACACCTGGCAGCCTGCATTTTCTCTTTCTCTCTCTCTCTCTGGTAAGCACATGTGCCCTATAGCAAATTATAAATAATAATAATAATAATTTTTTTTAAAAGTGATTTATTGCCATAGTGGAGAAAAATGGTTTATGCTGCTAAACAAGAGACAGTACAATAGGGACCAGCAGGCGGAGCAGTGGTTAAGGTACTGGATTCCCACATCAGCATTGGCGTCTTGGACCAGATGACTTGAAAATCATGCCAGGTGTGTGTGTACGCACATGTCCAAAATCCAGAAAGGAGAGTGGAGGAGAAGAGATTGCAGCATGGCCATACTGCCTGGGGGTGAATTCTCATTTTCCCCTCTCTCTGTGTCTCTCTCAGCAAGCTCACATACCTTATGGCATAAAATAAAAAAAGACAAAAATAAGTGACAATACAGCAGTCTCCCAAGTGGCCCCTTCCTTTTTTTTTTCTTTTTCTTTTTTTGGAGAGGTTTTTGCTATAGGACGCGTGCACTCGCCAGAAAGACAGAGAGACAGCGAGACAGCGAAAAATCACCGCCTAGGGGGAATGGCCACGCCATAATCCCTTCTCCTCTCGGGATCTTGGGCATGCACGCACATGTGCCTGGCGTGAGTTTAAGCCACCGGGTCCGAGACTCGAATCGCGGTCCACTACATGGGAGCCCAGTGACATAGCCATTATACTAACTGCCGGTCCCCCAAGTGGCCCTTTCCTAAGGGATTGCCAGGAGTAAATCTGATTGTCAGTAATCTGTGCCTAGCTCGCGCATTAAAATGCAAGCCCTGCGTGAGATGGGACTACCCTGTCCAGTGCACTCAGTGCAAGGCCAGGTGGATGCACACAGGGAGGGACCTAACAGTGTCGTCATCTGACAGTCTAGGTGAGAGGTCCGCACCGTACTGCCGACTGAGCGCCGTGCTCATCTTTTAAACCTGATGTCCTCATTTCTGAGCTGTCTACATTCCATTCTAGTCTTCTCATCTTGGTTACCCCTCTGGGGCATATCAAAGGAAAGTATTGGAAGAAGGGCCTCGAAGAACAGATTGGTACCAGGTAAGAAAGGGTCTTAAAAGTAATTTTGTTTGAGGGGCCAGCAGGGGGCGTGGTGGCTGGACACCCACATGGCCGATGGTGGTTCAAGTCCTGGGTCTGGCAGTGTGCTTTCTCACTTTCCCTCTCTCTCTATCATTCACTCTGTCCCTCTCTGGTCAAGTTTAAGTAAATAAAGTTAAATAATTCTAAAAAAATTTTTAAAAATAATTTTGTTTGAGCTTTGTATTGTCAGAAATGGACTATTCTAGGTTTTTTTTTTTTCTTTTTTAAATTCTTGCCATACAGCGAGAGGGAAAGTGAGAATCTCCCCTCTGGGGAGATGGCCATGTCACAATTCCTTCTCTATTCTCCTCCTGGGATTTTGGGCACATGGGCACACATGACTGGTGTGATTTTCAAGCTACTGGACCCAGGACTTGAACCATGGTCGACCAAGTAGAAATCAAGTGCCTTTACCCCCATGTTACCTGCTTGTCCTACATGCTAGATTTTTTTATTTTTAAATATTTTTTAGATTTTTGCTATAGGGAGCATGTGCTTGCTGGAGAGACAGAGAGATAGAAAGCGAGAAATCACCCCCAGGGGGATGGCCATGCCATGATCCCTTCTCCTCTCCGGATTTTGGGCATGCACACACATGCACCTGGTGTGAGTTTTAAGCCACCGGGTCTGGGACTCAAACCACCATCAACTACGCAAGAATCCAGCAATGTAACCACTACTCCATCTGCTGGTCCTCATTCTAGGTTTTTAACAAGGGTGTAATACAGATTCAGTTTAAGCTACATGCAAAAGATGAAACAGGCTGGCTGGTCCCGTTAGGGTATGGTAAGAACTGATGGAGTTGCTTTGTTCTCAACTCTCAGCACTTCAGAAAGGACCTGTGATTCACACCACATCAGAAGAAATTGATAGCAAGTATTTGTTCCTAGTGGTGGGGGTCATCATTTTCTTGAGATCAGAGCGCTTTGCAGCCAGCGCGTCAAAGGACCTTGAGTACTCGGTAAGAAAATTAAGGCAAGGCAAGGCAAGGGAAGAGCTTGAGCGAGCTTGAGCGCTGGCCTGTCATTCAGGTTAGACGGGTGGGTCGTGGGTCGGGTGGGTCGGGTGGAGGAGCTTCCCCACAGCAGCGCCTCCTGGCCACCTGCTGCACAGAGGAAAGTTCTTTTTCTCCAAATTTGCACTTTCTCCTTTGGCAAGTTCCTGCCACCAGCCTGTGTTGAGGTTTATCGATTCCCTCCGGACCAGGCCCTCTGCCAGCCCCAGTCTGCAGAGGGGAGCAGGCAAGTGTTTATTCCGCTAGTTTGCTAGTCTCTCCACTGCTCCACTCCAGTCCAAGCCTCCCGCCTGGATTCCTGAAGCAGCCTCCTCACTGGACTCCCTGCGTCCACCTGTGTCCCCCGTATTCTCCACCCAGAGGGCTCCTCACTTCTCAGAAAACCTGACTTAGTAAATAAGTTCTTACCGAAAAGACCACGCCGATTGAATGAACCACACTCCCTCCTCCTCCGCCCGGCCGTTCTTCCCCCGCCCTCTGGCCCATTCCGCACATACACTAAGCACTGGCCAGCCTCGGGTCCTTTGCCCTTGCCGTTCACCCTGGCATCTGCTCCAGATATCCACGTGGCTGCTTTGCTTTTTGGGGACCTGTGCTCATACGTCAGCTAATTGGAAGTGCCTTCCTCGGCTATCACAGCA